TGTATCCTTCTGTTGAACGAGTCACTTAAAAATGTGCTATATTGCAGCAGATTCGACTCAGTACATCTGCCCTCAATAAAACCATGTTGTGTGGGGCTAAGGAGGGGTTTGACGTGGTTGTAAAGATATTGGTAAATAAGTGGTTTCGAAAATCTTTGCAAACCAATTCAATATGCTAATGGTACTGTAATTAATTATATCCCTTTTATTTATATATTGCAGTAATCTTAGCAATCTTTCATAAATATGGGAATACTCTTTCTTTTAATGATTTATTATATATTAAAGTCAATGGAGCAACCAGTGCAGAAGCGCAAAGACGAATGAATATGGATGGGATGCCATCGGGTCCAGCTCCTTTAGATAAATCGACATTTCTTAATCTAGTTAAGACTAAATCTGTCGTTATTTGTACATGTCTTAAACAGTAACTGTGTAAGAAGTATTCGGGCTCAGTAAATGCTGCAGCACTATGAAAATTTTTATGAACTGATGCAAAAAACTCCGCAAAAAATCGGCACTAAACAAGATATTGGAAATGTGATGCTGTATACAGGCCCTAGTATTTTGAGACTTCGCCTTGAGTTTGTCAATAATAAATTTTCCAAAACTAATGCATTCACCCAATTTAGAAGTAGTAAAGTCTTGCAAAATTTGAAAGGTCGAGTGCATTATATCATCATTTCATCCACCTTCACTTGTTTCCGTTTTGGTGCGTTAGGTTTTTCAGGTGGCATGGCCCGAGTCTCTTGCAAGTCCTGTGTCGCAGTTTCACAAGGAATCTATATCATCATTTCATCCACCTTCACTGGTTTCCGTTTTGGTGCGTCAGGTTTTTCAGGTGGCATGGCTCGAGTCTCTTGCAAGTCCTGTGTCGCAGTTTCACAAGGAATCTAAAACCAGTTTTTTTTTTTCAGTACCTAGTACATCAGATGGTTGGCTACATTTGGCTGAAAACATTAGTGATCAGTGAAATTTTCTTCATTGTGTCAGCGCAATTGATAGAAATCGTGTAAATAATTCGTCAAGCCCCATATAACAGTGGAAGCGATTTCTATAACTTCAAAGGCTTTTTAACATAGTTCTATTGGCGGCTCTGGATTCCAATTACAATTTCATATATATAAACTGTGGCTGTCAGGAGAGGATCTCTGATGAAGGAGTATTTAATAATAGTCATTTGTGTACTAAAATGCAGGATAAATCCTTGAATCTACCACAGCCAAGAGCATTGCCGATGCGGAACAAAGAAATTCCTTATTATTTTATTGGTGATGAAGCTTTCGCATGATCAGAAAATATAATGAAAGTGTATTCAGGACATCATCGTAAAGGAACAAAGGAGAGAGTTTAATAAAGACTATGTAGAGCACAGAGAGTAGTCGAAAATGTGTTTGGCATTATTTCTGCAGTTTTCCGAGTATTACGGAAACCCATGTTATTGCAACCAGAAAATGCTACCTTAGTAGTTAATGCCATAGCGCATCTACATAACTTCTTACGAAGAAATCAGGAAAGTAGGAATTTGTACACTCTTCCGGGACCTTACGACAGGGAAAATTTAGGAGTAATCACACCAGTTGGAGGAGTCATACCGAAGAAACGACTAGTTTATTGGATTTGGAGGATGAACAACAAGAAACAGCGCAATTAGTTTCTCAAGAGATACGTGAAGAAATTGCTAATTATTGTTCGCAAGAAGGAGCAGTACCATGGCAAAACGAATATGCTTAAAGTTTATTAAGGTCCTGTTTTTTTAGTTTTGGTAGGCTGAAAAAACATTTAAAACTTGTGTAAATAGATATTAAATATAATTCTACAAACTGAATCTGTTGTTTTCCGTGGTTCATTACTGTCCAGTATAAATCATAAAGCTGCATATGCGAACCAGGTACTAGTATATACTTCTTCTGCACCTGAAATATAAATTAATGTATGTACTGAATTGAAAAATATTGATAGTCAAGGCACTTACAGTCCATCTGTTAAAGGGTTCCGGAAGCAAGCTTTAAAACACTCAAAAGGGTAGTTTCTTTTTTCATTGCTAAAATCTATTCCTTATATATTTAAGAAATTCATTTCATTTATTTATTTCACAAACAAATTTAACGCTGTGTCTTAAAAAAGGTACTTAAAAACTAAAACAGTTTGGTTACTAATTTCTTAAATTATAACAATGGGGAAATTGAGTTGAAAAAATAAACCATGAAGTATACAAACATAAAAAACAAAATTAGATCACCATTTGAAGGAATTAAAACAGAATAAATTAATTGGTACAATACACAGACTTATAAAGTAAAGTTCTGAATGTTCAGAATGTTACTATGTGTGCAAATTTACAGAAGCTAATTCGCAATATTTTCCAAAATACATGTTTTAGGCCTTGAGCAGGCTTTGCTTAAGGACAAAGCCTAGCCAAGTATTTAAATAAATGTGTAGTGAGGGTAACATGCCGTAGGTAATAACACGCGAGTCGTGTGGAATGTGACACACTCACCCTTGCCTATGCGCATCGTAGGTAGCTGCAGGCATGGACAGTCTCAGTTATTATGTACGTTATGGCATGCATGCCTAAAGCATCTGCTTTAACATATTTTATTTAAGTAAATCCTTACTTAAATAAAATATGTTACCTTTCCGGTTCCTGAAGCATTTTTTTTCAATTTGCTCTTTTCTCTTCTAAGAGATGCTAACAGGCTTGTGATTTTCTTTTGACAGTCTTCCACGGTTATCCCAAATTTATCCTATCTGATATGTAAAAATCCTTAATTTTAGACTGACATTGCCTTAGAATGTCGTATGCAGTTTGTGCGTTGATTATATCTGCACCGTACGAAACTTTTTTATCCAACTTCGTTTCACGGCACCACCTACACCATCCGCGGCACCTTTGCCGTGGGCAGATTCAAAAATGGTCCAAGTTGATTCCTGAAAACATAATCTTTTTATCATTTTCGACATCAGGTAAAAAAATCCCTTTTGACGGTACTGGGTGGTGGGGCCGTCTAAAAATAAGTTAACTTTAGTAAGTTTCCGTAATGTATCTTTGACATATATTAAAACAGGTGTTAAATGTTATATAAATGTTTGCCCATATACCGATAGGAGTGTGATTGTTATTAGGCGAAATTGTATAAAATGATTTCTCTTGAAAGCTTTGTAGATTTTTGTAATAAAGCAGTCCAGTGTGCAATGTCAACTGTTGTTTTGACGCACCAAAGTGTGTTGCTTGTACTTTCTCGTTTGATTTGCAAAGATAGTTTTCTGAGAAGTCTCAATGAACGATACACTCAATTTCAGATATTGTCTCTTTACATCTTTTGTACATTTTGTATGATTGGTAAACGTTGAAATAGTTTCTTGAACTTTTTGAGTTTATCAGAATAGAAATAGAAAAATATTTTATTAGATTTACCAATGTGCCGTGTATTACGTATTTGATATTTCTTTTTGTGACTTTCTTGTCATTTTCTTGGTTATTGTTACTTTTCGAGTCTTCATATTTTTAGTCACCCAGGCATTCCAAGATACATCTTCATTTTTTTGTGTCAGATTAAATAAAAGTAACTTAATTTCACAACTTTTACATTCATTGTACATGCATTTCTTATTAAACTTGTCGCAAACAATGGCTGAAACCAACTTGTCCAGATCATCAGTTTCTATGATTCTTAGTATCTTTAACTTAAAAGCTAAAAATTTTAAATTTGCATGTTTAACACATACACATGTGTTTCGTTGGCTTATTTTTGGATCTAAAATATAAAACGGCTTGTATCAGGTAAATGTTGTATATGATGCCAAACACGGAACAGATAAATAAGGTTGGAAAGGCCCTCGCTTCAATTTTGTGTTAGGACCAGTGTCGCCGCTTGACTCCCACTATTTTAATATTTCGCACACAACCAAATCACACACCCATAAATAGAGATACTCTGGGCAGATATTCGTTCGCACTGTAGCACTAAGCTCCCGTAGGTATAGACACTCACACACGTAAAAAAGCAATAAAATTTTTCATGCACGCTAGTGCTTGATAAAGCCGATATTCTATATCGAAAAATTATCTGATGAATTTATGGGGAAAAACGAAACATGAAATATACACTCCCGGACACCTAAATCGAGTCACCTTGATTTTTTTGGTTTGGAGTACTGTAACTTATAAAAGATGTATGTAGAAGGAAAATGTTTTAATGCAGTTTTGGAGCTGGTATACTCATCATTCATTTAGAGTTCCACTGTTCTAAATTTGAACTACAGTTTATTAAGAACGTCGAGTTACGTTGAAACAAGTCCATATTTGCTTTTTTCAAGGAAAAAAAATCTAATCGATTTTTAAATAAAGACATGTTTTACATGAAAATAAATGTTTATTTAGTAACTTGTATTGCCTCCCAGTGCATTTATGACAGCTCTCATACGGTTTGCCATAGAATTAATCAACGTCGTTATGCAACTCAACATGTGAGGAATGTCCTCCCATTCTTCCAAAATTTCATTTTTGAGCTCCTGCATGGTTTGCGGGGCAGGATGATGAGCTCGAACACGCCTCTTCAGCTCATCTCATAGATGCTCTATAGGATTCATATCAGGACTTCGCGCTGGCCATCTCATAACAGTGATGGGTCAAACACAAAAATTGGACATTAGGAAAAATTTAAATTAAATTTTCCTGATCGCTCTTATATTTTTATTTTAACAAAGAATAACATTAATATTCGCATAATTATATTAATTGAGATCAGTTTACATTATTTGAGCAATAAATCGCAGTTTTTTATGTCTACAGATGAGATCAAGTTTTCTACAGAAAAGAACAAAGTGGATATTAATCAGTCTAAACCACATAATATTTTTTTAAAACACAACAAACACACTTCTAAATTTGACTAATTAATAAGTATAATTAACATCGTTTGCTAATAAAGAACAAAAATAATAATCAACTAATGTCCACAGAAAAGACGTATACTTCTGTGGTCATATAAAACATATCAGAAAATATTTTCATCGTTAGATGAAAATTTATTTATAGGCTTCTTCGTCACTTCGTCCTCATTAGTATCATCTGAGTAAATCCTAAATTTTCTTTTTGTAGGCCTACAAATTTGCTGCATAGTAATATTATATATATATTATATATATCATATCGCTTGCCCGAAGCTTACAACAAACTAAGTGAGAGTGTTGATATCTTCCATGACTCTTTTCTACGATTCAGGACTAAAGTTTCTGAGTTATTAAGAGATGTGTAGGCAAACTTTATTTTTATTTTTGTCTTTAAATTTGTTATATCGAGTAATTATATATATTCGTTTTCTATTTTCTATAGTTTCAAAGCCACTAATAGTTCATAAACTTCATTATTTACATGTGGTTTCAGTTTATGTTTCCGTTTGTTTATTTAATTAAAATTCGGTCCGTTCGTACTGCCTCTTAAGCATGATGTGGCTACCTTCAATAGAATTTTGCATTTTGTATGTATCACTATAATGTTTAAAAAAATAAGATTTAATGTAACTTTCCCTGGTGGTCCTAATAAATAAATAAATATATAAATAAATTATCTGGCGTAAGTCTATCAGTCAACTCGGTGAATTTGGTACAGTCGGAGCATCGGGAGTTCATGGAGATACTATTATAGAATCAGGTGTACTAGTTCTAGATAAGTCAGCCATTGTCGGATCTCTATAGTTTATTTGGATTTCACCAATTTCAAATTTGCATGTTTAACACATGTACATGATGACAAATTTCGTGGGCCTTACACTCTAAGCAACTTAAGCGCCTTGCGTGGATAGTATGCGGTTCGTAAATACTCCATGATAATTGATGAATCCCCAAAGTACCTTTAAAGGGTTTTGTAACAGTACTGTCTAAAAGTTGTTGAATTTCAGGTATGAGGGCTTCATTTATCCTATAGACTTCAATGCCTCTACATTACTTATCCAGGCATAACATCAGCTCATCCTAACTAGCAACGTCTTGACCTCTCGCAACACAGCTGTCGCAGATCCGTTTGATGCAGCCACCTACTCCATCCGGTGCACCTTTTCCATGTCCCCTCTCGCTATAATGCCAAGTGATGGAATTGACACTTAACACTTTGCTTAAGTATGTTGCTATTAAATGGAACATGGATTTATTCCGATATTGAGTAGAAGGTCCATCACTTAAAATATGCAAGTTTTTTAAGTTTGGCGACAGTTGTCGAATTCTATTTATCAAAGCATGTAAGTGTACACATATCAGAACAGGATCATGTCTGATATTTTCTGATACGGTACAAAAGGAAGTACTTGCTGTATAATTGTTCGGAGGTTCTGATTGGGTACTATAATAAACAGCAGTATGTAAAGACAACTGTATTTTTGAACCGCCAAAATGAGCAGACTGTATTTCCTCGGCATACTTACAGTTGTAATTTTCGGAAAAATCTATATGGAGAAGTTCGTCTTCAGGCGTTAATCGTTGTTTGATGGTTTGAACAGCATTTGATTGATGCATCACATATGCAACATGCTTAGTATAAGTCGGTTAATTAGAGTGTAACATTCCCAAAAGATTTTTCTTAGTAGTCACCACTTTTTCTTTTACAGATCTCTTCAGATTGTTTTGCTTCTCATTTTATTACGATAGTAACAGTCTTTGTTATCCATCTCTCATACGATATAGTATCATTATTAATGAAGTTATTACATTGAATTATTTTATCTTTACAGTCAGTGCAATGTCTTTCTAAACAATTTAATGTTAAGCCAGTATCGGAACATAATGATTTAATCACTATGTATGTACGGGATTGTTTTTGTATTGTAAAGTGCTCGTATAATACAATCATTATTAGTATGAATGACACACAGACAAGTGTTTCTGGAATCAACTTTTGGGATTAATACCCAAAATGGTCGATTTTTACGAAATGTCTCGTATGAAATACATATTCCAGTTATTTACAAATGTTTTATGTAAATTTAAAAGAGAATCATTCAAAAATCGTATTTGTTTTTTGATTTTATGCCTCGTAATTGTATCCTTTTTTCCAGGTGTTAATCGGCTGCTTTCATCTTGAATCTTCGTCGGTTTCGGCTTTTCTTTTACTTCTATTACTTTTTTTGCTCGTATATGTCGCATACGGTATTTGGCCATTTTCGATTCCAATTCCAGAATTCTTTTTCTCAGATAAGAATTTTCTGCAACGATTCTTCGTCTATTGCGTTGGCACTGCTCTGCCAACATTTACACGTGAAAACGAAGGACTAAACTACTACTAGGAAGGTAAGGAAGGACTGGCGGAGTGTTTTCTTCTATGAAATTAAGTGCCTTAGTTTTTTCTTTTTCCTTTTCACGTTTTTTCTTTGCCTTCTCTCTCCATATCCTTCTAATTTTTCTTTGTTCTCTTGGTGTGTAATCCTTAATATTCTTGATTTGACCTTGCTCTTTCTTCTTTTTATATCTTTCCCTGTCTTTCTTTCTTCTTTCTTCGAGTGCTGCTTCGTCCATTTTGGCTCGAGCACGGCGTATGCTAATTTTTTTCTGTTCTCGTCTACGCTTCTTTTTTTCTTTTTCAGAGAGATTACTTCTTGAACGACTTTGTCGCGGCATCGTACCTAAACCAAACCATGTAGTATGCATTATTTATGCAACAAATCAAATGATGATTGGATAAGTTGAAATCAAATATAATCAAATTTAAAAAAAAGTTAATGAAGTAATTTATATTTAACGTTTATACAAATAACGCATATTGAAAAAAAAACTTAAAAAAACGTCCAAGCCAGTTGCAGTGGAAAAATAATGATGGCAATAAATGAAGCATAAAGCAATTCAATTATTTTACTAATTATTCATATATTGTAACGTGAAAAACCGGGTAAGTGGGGTAAATAAAAATAAGACTCCGATTATAACTCCATTTATTAGTTATCTCCGTATTTTAATGTTAAGGTTTAGGTAAATGACTTTAATTTAAGGTTAGTCATATTTAAGTTACGTTTAAAACAATATTTATGAAACGGAGTGGTATTTAAGTTAAGTTTAAAACAATATTTGTGAAACGGAGTGAAATTAGCCGCTGGCTGGAGCCGCACGGTCACGCATATAAACGGTCGTTACAATTAAAATAGGTAGGTAAAAAAAACAGGTCGTGGCGCATTTGGTCGATAACGCTTGGTATGTTAAAAGTTAAAGTTAATTTAGGTAAAAAGAAATGGTTATCTTTAGGTCCAGAGTAGACAGCACGAAGGGTAGTCTGCGCACAGAGTGCAGTCCAAACTCATCGGGGTAAGTAGATGAGTTGGGGTAAGCAGGGGCTTCGTCAGCTGCTTAGGACTGGAGAGTCCTTCTGGGGTAGCTACTGGTTATATGAGACGTTGCCTGGGTAGCAGGACGTCAGGGTAACATGGCGGTATACTATGGTATAACATAGCATCATAACATTGCACCTCCTGGAAGGGGACGGTAAGTATTAGCCTTCCGGAGAAAAAATACATAAAAGGTAAGTAGGTAATCTACATGAAAGGTAGATATTAAATTAATATTAAGAAATTATAAATTCTACAAGATATTAAGAAATATTTGTATGTTATTCCTTTGTAAGTTAATATTTTATTAAGTAGGTAATCTACATGAAATGTAGATATTAAATGAATATTAAGAAATTATAAAATCCACAATATATTAAGAAACGTTTGTATGTTATTCTTTTTTAAGGTAATATTTTAAAGTAAATTGAACATTCCTCTTTATGGAAAAACTGCGTTACAAGTTATAATTATCTTAAAAACTGTTGTTTCAATTATTTATACCCAGTAATTGATTAGAAAGTGAAAAGTTATATAGTTAAAATTGTTCTTTCATTGTATTATAATGATTGAATTAAATAAATACCTGTCGGAGGCGTTGAAGACAGCAAGTATGATTTAATAGTTTATTCTTCCATGTTATTATCTGTAATTAATTAGTGTGGTAAGTAACACATTCCTACAAAATTAATGGATTTAAGGGAGGTAATCCTTTTCAACAAACACTGTCTTCAAAGAAAATTTCATAATGGGAGTTACTCTTTATGAATTATTTTACAGGATATTGATTCCTGAAGGGAATAAATGAATATTTATGCATATTTGACTAATCATCATAGGAATGTAGTATTAACTAGTTAATAATTTGTAAGGATTTATAAAAATCTTGACAAGGAGGTTATCTTATGAAGTAATACATGATTTCCACATGTGATTACTATAAAATAATGCATATTTTACTGTGATCTGGTAAGATCATTAAAAATAAAGTATAGTAATTGCTTACCAATTAAGAAAACGTGTGACTATTTCTCAAGTGGAGCCGGCACATGTTGGATTTTGTATAAATCTGTGTAAATAGGGGTTCCTTATGCTTCGCCTGTAATAATTTATAGGAATAAGAATCCACAAAACGAAATTACTCCTTTTAAAGTTGAAAAGTATTAAATAACTTACCAAAAAAGCGAAACGTGGAACGTGTTCGAGAAGAAAAATGTAAAAATGACTTTTTTCTTAAAAGTTTTATAGCGTTGGCATATTGATAAATAAGGGCGACGTTATACACAGTCGGTGTGCGAAGTCTATGAACAGTGCGCTGGAGCACAACGTGTCCGTGAGTGATATAGGACGGAGGCTTTTTGTCCTTTTCTAACCGTGTAATTAATAAATTATAAAATATAAATTTTATGCATTAGAGCAAAAATTTAGGGCTACAATATAAAATAATTATTTAAGCTTTTTATACATTCTGTAGACATGATTCTTTTCTGTAGACACAGCATATTCTATGCAACGACTTAGATCGCTTAGAAGATGTCTACAGAAGAGATGTATCGATTATAAATTTAAGATAGCACGCTAATATTTGAGGTTAGGATTTTGGGTAAATGATATTTGAATAATAATCCCATACACATACAAAACCTTGATATAGATTAATACTTGCAATCAGTACTTACCCTTGTACACTTTACACAGGAAAGAATAAACGATCTCAACGAAAAACTAGTGTAATTGAATAAAAAAAGTGTTATTACGACCAAAGCGCTTGCTGTCACTTTCACGAAAGAACGAATGCTAGAGAATGCAATGCTGCCAAAATAAACAATAAAATGTTTACGATGCGTTCAAATTGGTTAAAATTTCAGCTTGTTTATGCGTCTAGAGGAAGGGACCTAAAATTTGTGAACGAAAATTGTAAAGGTTATATAAATCTTAATTGAAAGCTAATTTTTTTTTCTTAGAGTTGAATATATTTATTTTTATATGACAAAACAAAAGAAAACTCCTATTTACATTGCTTTGTAATGTATTTTTTACTGTCTTTTAAACTTTAACATTCAATATCCGAACAGTCTACAGGAGGAGATATTTTTCAATTTATATGATTAACAGAAATCTAATAATATCATTAATATGCAAACGGTTCTCAAGACATATAAGATTTCATAGCCAAATAATATAATCAAGTAATTTTAAAGTAAAAAAACATGTTTAAATTCAATTTGAGTAGCCTGAACACTTTTTTTATTCATTTTATGTATGACCCTGATACCAATGTCATTTAAGTACTCCTTGATGATTCCCGCAGTATGGGCCCTTGCATTATCATGCATTAAAACGAAATCTTGGCCAATAAATCCAGCATATGGCATCACGTGGTTCTCTAAACATTGGCGAATGTATCTATTGCCATCTAGGGGAGGCAGTCGTGGTCCCGTCACTACCTCTAGCTCAGTTTTGCCTTCCATAGAGATTCCTCCCCAGACTGTCCATTATCCTCCACCATAACTCACTTTCTCGTCAATACAGCATTGCGCGAAACGCTCGTTCTGTCTTCGGTACACCATACTCCTTCCGTCATTACCGTATAGCATTATCTTGGACTCATCTGTGAATTGAACCTGGCTCCATTGATGTCGAGTCCAATTTAGATGTTCGCGCGCAAACTCTAGACGGGCTATTCGGTGTGCTCGTGTCAATTTGGGTCCATTGGCTGGCTTATGGGGCTTTAAACCACGTTCATTGAGTCGCCTTCTAACGGTCCGAGCACTTACAGCCACTCCGTGAAAGTCCCTGAGCTGTTCTTGTATCTGAACAGAGTTAAGGCGTCTATTTCGTAAGCTACTCGTAGAAGTGACAATGTATTGATCTTGTCTCGCCGTTGTCACTCTGTAACGAGGTCCTCCTGTTCGCCGAACGAAGCCGCCAGTCTCCAGGTATCGGTGGTACACTCTTTGAACAGCGGAACGACTTATGTGAAGTTGTGAACTCACATCTCGCTGACTTAGCCCAGATTGAAGGAGTGCTACAGCTTGCGCGCCTACTTCAGGTGAAGTATCCATAATTTTATAGCCAAAAACGGTTCAAATTATAGAAAAATAACTAAACTAAACTTTGGTTTACAACAATTGCGAAAATTCAAACCAAATCGACATTAAATTGCTTCAAAAGCAACTTTCAACAGTCATTATTTTTTTTCAAATCAGTGACCAAGCTCGGCTTTTGTTCTTTATTTTAAATTCTAAAATTCAAATTTGGAATAATACATACGGGAAAGACGATAAAATATGCCAGCATTAAGAATGCATAAAAACTTTTTAGTTATATTGTATATTTTTTGTGTATTGGGCTTTTAGGCTCGGGAATGTAAGGTGGCCTGATTCAAGAGTCCGGGAGTGTATATTAAGAAATAATTTTATTTTACTTTCATTTATAATGGAAATACGAGTAATCACTATCCTTTGAATAAAACGTTCCACCCAACCCAATTGCTTAATGGCGCTTGCTATCAATTGTGAATGATTTTTTCAATACACAGTGTAACCTCACGTTAATATATTTTTCAATATATGCTTTGGTGAGGTCTGTGACGTGGTTTGCTGTAGGGTATTGGCCAATTTGGTAATAAATTATGTTTTTGAATATTTCACTCCCTACAAAGCGACGCATAATTTTTGTCACCAACATTTTTTTATTTATATTATGAAGGGTTTCCGTATAAATTTCGATAACAGATTCTGATATCTTACAAATCTGTATCAAATCTTTTGATGGGCATAACAGACCACCCTTATCTTTAGCAACTATAAATGTATGGCCTTCATTTATGCTATTGGACAATAGCGCTCCAATGCATGCATCACAATTTTTTTAATTAAAATATGTATCCTGAAATATGGCTAATAATTTGATTGCTAAAATCTGAGATATTATTAAAAATGCGTTAATATCTTCTTCGTTATTATTATCAACGTCATCATTTTCTTCAACCGCAATCCTTCGTATGGATTAATCCGTGCTACAGGAGATGATGCACAATAAAGAATAGAAATGTGTTCAAGCGCAGTACAATTACATATTTACCCATCATAATATTTAATGTACCATCATGAATTTAATGTGACCTGCAATAAATAAATAAATAAACAATTTCCACTATCGAGAGCCTTTAACCCAATATGGACTAAAAGTTTTTTGTATGCAGCTTTAAACTGGCGGGACGTGGGGCTATTGTTGCCTCCACCATGTAATTAGGGTTGCCACCTTTTTTTTTGGCAAATAAAGTGCTATTTGTCTCAAAATGAACTCTTTAGAAGTATAGGAAACCTTAAAAAACCCTGACAAAGTCTTAATCACGCAGAATAACTGTGAAAAATTCTGAATAATAATCATTAGTTAACCAATGACCATGTTCAATTTCCCACTGACTTTTATACTTCTGCAATCGTTTATTGTTATTTTTCACTTTTGTCGTATCAATTCTACGTTTTTTCGGTGGTGTAACATATTCACTATTTTCTTCTTCAAACTTTCGCGCTTTGAACACATATTCATAAATATCGGGACTTACCACGAACCTTTTATTGAGCCGTTGAAGTTTCGTCAACGGCTCAATAAAAGGTCGTTAAATTAATAAATATTCACTATTTATTTGATCCGTTTCACTATTAAAATTACGTTTTGTAGGAGTTTGTGGCGTATTCTCGTCCATGTCCATGATTATTATGACACTGAAGCATAAATCTATATGACTCTTAATCGTATTTAAAACTCTTCAAACCGCTTCGCACAAGCACACACAACTAAAAGAAAAATTGTGATGTGAGACAGTGACATTGACGTTAACGCTGCGCTCACATGACCTGACATTGACATTTGAGGTTAAGTTGCAGAGTTGCGTTCAGAAATTGTTAAAAACGAGTGAAAAAGATAGGTGGCGCTCTGGCGCTTGCAAGTGGCGACATCGATTCAGTATTTATCGATAAATTTCGATTTGAAATCCCAATCGCAAAATACCATTGTGAAATAAAGTATTTTCGCGTACTTTATTATTCTCATAAAGAATAAAGTACAATTGCCTGAAATAACGTACAATACTTTATTATAAAGTACGGGTGGCAACCCTACATGTAATCTTATATTACCACAAAGCATTTCAAGGTGATTCCGGCTTACTTTGTAAAATGGCGTAAAAATCAGAACTCCAGGATGTATTAGCGTTTCATAAAATTTTTTAACAGCTGTAGTATATCCAATAAAACCATTGAAACCAGTTTTACGTAAGCTTTTTATCAATAGAGTTCCCTCTTCTGTTCTCAACTCTGATAGGTACGACGTCGCCATGTCCAGATAATTAAGCAGCGTTGGCTTTTGTTAGAGCTTTTTTGAATTTATATTAGTACGTGTTTCGGGAATTAAAAATGTCAAACATGTTATTAATAACCCTCAAAAAAATTTATGTGCTTTGACTGTTATAGAATGATATCAGATTTAATTGGTCACGACAAAAGTCTATAGCTTCTGCTACACTTAGGCTGAACAATTGCGTTGCAAATTTGACTTTCATCTTATTTTTTTGAAAATAACATGATGGTTACGAAGCTTGTTCGCTAAATGAAAGTTCTCCTTTATTTGAAGGTTATTTAATTCCTCCAAAAATCGCCATTCTATGGTTTTACCATATTTATCTGAAAATGTGTTATAGCATTTAAAAATCATTACGAATTACTTTTATCATGTTTTTTTTATGTTATAGTTGGCATACGAGCAGACGGCTCACCTGATGGTAAGTGATCACCGTCGCCCATGGACACTTGCAACACCAGGAGTATCACAAAAGCGATGCCGGCCTTTAAGGAAGGAGTACGCTCTTTTTTTGAAGGTTTTTGGGTCGTATTAGTCCGGAAACACTGCTGGCGACAATATATTCCACAGTTTTGTCGTACGTGGTAAAAAAATTCGACAAAAACGCACGGTTGTGGATAGCCACGCATCAAGATGATGGGGATGAAATTTTTGTTGCGATGTACGATGGCGAAATGCAGCAGCTGGAATTAATCCGAACAATTCCTCAGAACACTCTCCGTGAAAAATGCGATAGAAGATGCAGAGCGATGCTACATCCCTACGCAAAGCCAAAGGATCAAGCTGATCGGAAAGGTCCTGGTCGTCGACGATTCGAGCCGCTCGGCGCTGGATGCGATCTAAAGGGAGAAGCTGGTACTGGGGTGCCCCCGCCCAAAGATGAGAGCAGTACTCCATGTGAGGCCGAACCTGTGCCTTATAAAGTTGCAGTCGGTGGGCCGGTGTGAAGTACATTCTCGATCTATTGAGCACACCAAGCTTCTTAGAGGTCAATTTGGCCTTGCCCTCTAAATGATCCCGAAACTGCACGTCGCTCGATATGTTAAGGCCAAGAATTCCAATACTAGCTGAGGCAGTTAGAGGAGTGTTCTCAAAGAGAGGAGATACGACAAATGGTATTTTTTTTGCGGTGAACGCGCATACTTGTGTCTTCGTAGGGTTAAATTGGACTAGATTAAGTCGGCCCCAATTCGTTACTTGGTTTAACAAAGTTTCGACTTCAGACACAAGTTTGTTCCGACTCTCGATGACGTTTTCTCGTGAAATGTTGGCGCGGCCGGTATATAGGGCATCACCCGTGCTGTCGTCTGCATAACAATGAATG